TGCACTTCCTGTCAGCGCAGGCCAGTTGACCGCTCGGACATATGGGCTCTTCGGTGGCGAGCAGTGGACGGGGAGTACTGGCATCTGAACGGCATTAATGATTGCAATAAATATGAAAAACTAAATCTTAGATTTTTATCATCAAATACCGTGAGATTTCTCGCAATTATCGATCTTTAACTTAAAGTCACAGATCTGTCGGTCGACATCAAACCAAAGACCGGCACTACACCGGAATTCCAGCACTTTCTGTCGGGGGCACCAGTAGTACTTCGCACAGTCTCTAACGCCAATTGCATTGGGATTACGATAAAATTTGCCATTATCTATACATGGAACTCCATCCACAGATCCTACTCAAATAGTGAGTTTTATAAAATTAAAACTTTAATTAAAAGAGATATAGAAAAGGCATAAAAATTTTAAAAATTTATAAGAACTTCTAAGACTTGTAAAGTATTAATAGAACTTACAATTCACATGACATTAAATTAATAATATCAAATATTATTTATAATTTTTTTGGTGACACGAAGTGCCCCGAGTGTTGGGTTATTTACATTGGACTCATCATAGCATTAGTTCACATTAAGTTAGCTTTCATTTATGTTTTTAAAAAACATTTCCTTAAAATATGATAATTCATAGAAAATAAGCTCAAAATCAATTGCTTTTAAATAAATGTTGAAATAATTTTTTTTAAAAAGTGTAATAAAACGTATCCAAAATATTCAAAAAGTTGATTACTATGCTAAAATCAACTTTTATTAAAAAACAACTCAAAAAAGTGTAAAACTTAGTTTAATTCAAAACTTCCTGATAAAATATAACAAATAAAAAAGTTAAAATAAATAAAAAATATGGCATTAAGGTAAGACATTCTTTGACTATTATACAGTAAAATAAAAATATATTTTCATCTTATTGTAAATGCAAATAATAATTTAATTCATAATTCAAATGAACCTTGTTTAAATAAATAATAATTTAATAAGAAATATAACATACTTTTAGTTTTTTTAATTCGTTTGTCAAAATTAAAAGTAACTATGAAAAATAGTGAAATGTCGTATATTATAAGTACGCTGGTAATTAATGGATACTTTAGTATCACATGGTGTATGTGCACAATGATTGTGCAATGAATGGTCACTTACCGTCCTCGTCATCGTCAG